TTTTGTTACGACGCCGGACCAGCAAGCAAGCAACGGGTTTTAAATACGCCTGCACGATGACGATGACCTCACATCGGAGTGAGATTCTGCAACATAGTTGTACTGCTAGAGGCCTTGCTGTGATAGCCGAAGCGCATGGCACTCCTTAAAAATAACCAACATCACCTCTAGCATCCGTCCTTTGCAAGCATGCGAGCCGTTACGCCGACAACTGTTGCCTTTCAACCGACAAGTCGAGCGTTCACATGTCGCCTGTCCCTTGGTTACATCAACCGTGACAATTGCGTGTCTACGTTGCCAGATGTGCAATCTTCCAAGCAGTGATAACTAGCGGGACGTACGGCAGCTATCCGGGTGCACAAGAGAACAGTCAATATCGTTTCTCAGTGAAAAAAAAGCAATAACCGAGTCTAAAAGCTGCCAGGGAAAAAGTCTCACTGATAACCGGTAGCTCGGCGAGCAAGGCTGCGCAGCGAGCATCCTTGAGCGGCATGTCTGTGCTTCAAAAATAACAACTTATTTCTCCTGATCTACAAGCGTTCTAAATTTATATCATGGCTATCCCAACTAAGGATTCATTATTAAATATTTGAAGTGTATTTAAATATTCTACCTTCATAAACATTGCGGTAATTGTTTTGTTTGATGAGCAAATGTAGCAGAGGTGGACGTAAGACAGCACCTCATTACGATGCCAGGCACACACTGAGCGCTATACACAATACGCCGCATTAGGCCGGCAACAAGAGAAAGTCGACGTTGAAGTTCCGCTATTGCAAGCAGACATCATAGCCACGGTGAAACTCATCAACCTCATCTATAATGAGACACTTCTTGAGTGATAGACTACTGGAAATGATCTCAATCGCAAGCATTCTGATTCCATAAGTCACATGCCTGCATAAGATGTCGTTTTTCAAGCACCTGACCGAAGGCTGTTGGTGCGCGACGTGCGCCATCTGGTGCAGTTTTTGCTCGAGGCCCACGAGATCAGATAGCTTGAGAAACTTGCTTAGGTTTCTATTGTCGTCTGCAAAATTCAGTAGCGCACACGCAAATGTCTTTTGTGGGGCAAAGAGGTAAACAATATCTCTATAAATTTAGTTTAGGTTAAGTTTAGTTTCAAGAAATGGATGCTATTCACATTTATTGAAAATGTAAGAAAGTTTGCAAACAAACCGACGGCATCAACGCCGTCAGTTATTCAACGAATGCTTACTAAACGCCTTACGCGCCTATAAAGACATCAAGATGAGACATGAATGTTTTTTTTTCAAATTGTTTTATAGAAAAAACGAATTTTCACAATATTAACCGCATAATTTGATAGATATTTGCACGATAGTTAACACGACCGTCAATGATCATCATTATTTTGTTAGCCTAGACGAACAACAAACTATGAACAGGAAAAATTGGTCTATAATAAAACCAGTTGTGTTTCGAGGAAAACTTGATGAATTGTTTAATAAAATGTTCATATACAAACTTCAATAAGCAAATATATCATCAGTTTGCTTAAGTTGCAAATTGACAATAAATTTGAAGTAAATAAAGCTTTTAAGTAAATGGACCAAATCTTCATTGAAATCTCATTGGAGACCAGCTTAATCAGTCGTTCCAAAACTTTTTAATAACAATATTACAAAGAAATCGTTTTTAATGTAGCTAAGGCGCGTATTTTTGCAGTTTTCCTTGCTTCTGCATTTATATAACGTCGAATATGCTGCCATAAAATGGTCCAGGAACTGGCTTGTTGAAGAGACATCGCCTGTGACACGCATCTGTAGGACGCATGCAGAATGCCGGAGAAATCGGCGGTACATGCCTATGCCGTGTGGCATGTATGAAGCATACGTGCCTATACCGTGTGGCATGTATGAAGCATACGTAGCTATACCGTGTGGCATGTATGAAGCATACGTGCCTATACCGTGTGGCATGTATGAAGCATACGTGCCTATACCGTGTGGCATGTATGAAGCATATGTGCCTATACCGTGTGGCATGTATGAAGCATGCGTGCCTATACCGTGTGGCATGTATGAAGCATACGTGCCTATACCGTGTGGCATGTATGAAGCATACGT